TATATATATATATATATATATATATATATATATATATATATATATATATATATATATATGTATATGTTTATGTATTCATTTGTATGAACATACTTAGTCTATATATTAGCGCCTTATGTATAGACGTATACGTATATAAAGAAAAACAATTTTATGTTTACTTATAGGCATATACGCATGCATGCATGCATCTCTGCTAGCTCCTGAGAAACAAAGCCCCAAAACTCACAGCTCCAGCCCCAAAAGTGTCGTCAGTTGCCCCCTCAGTGTCTCCTATGCCCCCTGGGGGCCCCCCAGCCCTGGGGGCCCCCCACTGCGGGGGCCCCCCAGCCCTGGGGGCCCCCCACTGCGGGGGCCCCTAGGGTGGGGGGGGGGCCCCCTGTGGCGTTGGGGGCCCGGTATGATTCGCCTTTTTAATAGAGTGTCTGTCGTAAGAGAGAAAGCCAGCAGCAAGCAGCAGCAAGCAGCAACACACGAACAAGTTCTCTATACTCACGGTGTCTGTACACCTGGGGCCCCAACACACCGGGGGCCCCCCCGATAGGGGCCCCCTGCCGAGGGTACAAACGCTTGCTAATGTGTACCCCTTTCTGTGCCTGTGTTTTGAACGAAGCGAGCAGCTAGAACTGCTGCAGCAGCAGCAAGTCTGGGGTGTACATGCACCTCCACTATGAGAGGGACTCTATCCCCTGCAGCAGCTGCAGCGTTTGGGGCCCCCTGTGTTGTCTCTGTACCCCCCAAGCCTATATAAATGCCAGAGGGGGCCCCCCATCCCGTCAGCTCAGAGGGGCCCCCCTTGCTGGGGGGCCCCTCGGGGGGCCCCTGCTCTCGGCGCCGCAGCAGGCGGCTCTCGTCTTCGGTTGTGTTGCTGCAGCTGCAGTGTGTTTAGGGTTTTAAATGATTATAATTAATTAAATTTGTTAAAATAAATTAAAAAGAAAGATGCCAGTGGGGTGTGGAGGACATAAGTGCCTCAGAAACGACTGCTGCAGCAGCAGCAGCAGGAGGCGCAGCAGCAGAAGCAGCAGCAGCACCTGCTGCTGCAGTGGTTAGGGGCTGTGCAGCGTCTTCTCCTTTTGCTGTTATACTCCACCAACTCTTTTTTTTCTGTTTTATATTTATTGCTCTCAGCCGCAGGCTGAATTTGATAGCATCGCGGTAGCAGCAGCACGTGCGCCTGCAGCAGCGGCACAGGCAGCAGCAGCAGCAGCAGCAGCAGCAGCAGCAGCAGCAAGCGCAGCAGCAAATGGATGAACTCTTTATATTTTGACTTTTATATTCTACTGGCACTTCAAGGTCCTCTAGGGGGCCCCCCTTGACTAAAGATCTGACGAGGGCCCCCACTGCATTTGGGGGGCCCCACTGTACCCTCCGGGACAGCCGACGCAGTAGCAATAGCTGCAGCAGCAGCAGCAGCAGCAGCAGCAGCAATAGCTGCAGCAGCACTTGCTCCTGCTTCTCTTGCTGCTGCAGGTAAGCAGCAAGACTGCGCTCTACACCGCTGCTCAACGTCGCCCGCTGCAGCAGCAGCTGCACCCGCGGTCGCAGCAACTGCAGCAGCAACTGCAGCAGCAACTGCAGCAGCAACTGCAGCAGCAACTGCAGCAGCAACTGCAGCAGCAACTGCAGCAGCAATTTCAGCAGCAACTGCAGCAGCAGCAGCAACTGTAGCCATATATTCCGTAGCAGCAAGTGCAGCACCTGCTGCAGCAGCAACAAGTGCACTGTCCAGTGCAGCAGCAGCAGCAAAGGCAGCAGTAGCAGCAGCTGCAACAGCAGCAGTAGCAGCAGCAGCAGTAGCAGCAGCAGCAGTAGCTGCAGCAACACAGCAGCAAAACAGTAGAGGCAGTGCTATACTATCTTCTCAGGCCCCCAAGGGTCTCTTGACGGTTCGTCTGCCTCCCCTCGGGGTTTAGGGTTTAGGGTTTAGGGTTTAGGGTTTGTATCTGCTGCTGCTGCTGCTGCTGCTGCTGCTGCTTTCTCATCACTTGGTTGCCTCCTCGTGCTGCAGTTGCTGCAGCAGCAACGGGAGAGGACAAAGCTGTTGTTCTGTCTTTTGTCTCCTCTCTCTCTTTCTCTCTCTGTCTTTCTATCTCTGTCTCTGTTTTTTTTTGTCTCTTTTCTTTATCTCTGTCTCTCTGTATCTCTTTCTATCTCTATATCTCTCTACCTATCTCTGTCTCTGTATCTCTTTGCCCCTCTTTGTTTCTTTTTGTTTCTCTTTGTCTTTGTTTGTCTCTGTTGCTGCTGTTTTTTTTTGTCTCCCTTGTGTTCGAGCTCATGCTTCCTCCTGTTGCTGCTGCTGCTGCTGCTGCTGCCGCTGCTGCTGCTGCTGCTGGTGCTGCTGTGTACAGATGCAGCGGGAGGGGACAGACACCCCAGGAGGAGGAGACAGCCAGAGGGCCCCACGACGGGGGGGCATGCATGCAGACAGACTAGAAGAGGAAGCTGCAGCAGAAGCAGCAGCATTCCTGCGGCGGCAGCAGCTGCTGCAGCAGCAGCATCAGCAGCGCCAGAGAGATAACCAAGCTCTTGCGAGGCGTCTTTTTACTGTCTTCAGTGCTGATGCTGCTGCTGCTGCTGCTGCTGCTGCTGCTGGACCGCTAGCAACAGCTGCAGATCCCTACAGCTGCAGCACGAGTGCTGCTGGCATTCCTTCTTCTTCCTCTGCAGCAGCAGCAGCAGCAGCAGCAGCAG